TTGGCTCACACGATAGCGAACTGGCCATCGTAATGGAAGACCAAGACTTAATTGACAGTCAAATGAATGGACAACCGTACCGGGCATCCCGATTGGCCGCAACGCTCCGACGGCAACTGTGGCGGGAACACCTAGGCCTACTGCGGGCCCAAGAATACGACGGCTCGGGTGACCCGAACGCGCAGCCGCCCGATGTATCTCTCAACAAGATCGATGAGGGGCCGGAGAACGAGTTCGTGATGGATCCACTCAGCGATGGGGTCTGGAACACTTGGACGTCGCAGGCAAGCGGGAACACCGAGGCGTACCGGATGCTGTTCCGGGCGGACCCTGACGATCATATCAAGACTTTTGAGGACTATGACAATTTCCGGCCACGGGGCACACACAAGGAAGGACATCTGTTCGATCCGTATATGCCGGCCAAGGATGTGCGCGAGAAGCTGGATCTCATCAAGGGTCACCTTGTTTGGTTGCCATTGGATTTCCTGCGCGACGCTGAAATGGCGGAGCCTGGGTTGGCTGTAAATCAGATTACCGAGGTGAGATTGATTGATATTTCTTATTTCTGATTTATTTATGAGATTGCTAATTGTTCGATAGAGTATCTACACCTAAACCTACTGAAAGAGAAGAGGAGATCTCCATGTTTTCCCCCTTTCACATAATTCCATCTGTTCTTTTTTTTTTTTCTTTTTTCTTTCTTCTTGTTATTAAGAGATGAATTCAAATTATATCCATGAATGTCTATAATAAAAAGAAAAAAAAAAAGAAATATGTCGGAGTACACAGTCGGTACATCCCCACACCAAAAGACTATGGAAGCCCTAAATAGATGGTACTTTTGCAAAATCTAAATCCAAAGGTCCGTACGGAGTAGTGGAGAAGCAATAGAGTTGTCCCAGCCTCCTGGGAACGGTCTCTCTAATTGGAGTCTATTTATTCCTATTTATTCTTATTTAGGATATTTGGGGATCTTGACTCCGTGCTTCATGCTCCGTAATCTCTTTGCTTTTGCCTCGGGTTCGCTGAACCGCAATTCCGCCAAAAGAGATACATCTCATTCTCATTTGAATGGCTATCGGAAAAAGATTCCTCAGAAAAAGGAATGGACTAGCCTGTTTCTTGGCACTGAATATCTGGTACTTTGGTACTTTTAGTACTTTTAGTATTTGTAGTACTTTCATTCCATTTATTCCTTTTATTCCCTTCAGTATAGTATTTCAATATTTTTTTTCATCTTCCATGGGCGCAGCTGGATAACCGAATCCGAGACCGAGAACGAAACTTGAACTTTGCTCATTATAGTATGATGGGGGGAAGATCAGAACCCTACATTCAAATAGGGTTCACAAGGTTCTACATAGTACATGCTGTAACTGCCCTAACACGGTCCCTTTGGGGTGCTGGGAGGGTAACTATATTGGACGAGGTGCATAATTGTAGTATAAACGAGATGATATAAAATCCATAAGATAATGTCACATTTTCCCTGAGGAAATCCAGATTCAAACTTTAGAATACAAATTGAAAATTGACCCAAAATAAAACAGAGTAAGAAAACAATAAAGAAGAAGGAAAAAAAGGTCTAAGTATAACTCCTCCGGATGCGAGATGCAGTGCATCAAAAACTTTTGGGGACTTTTTGGAACACATCAAAATGCATAAGCACACGCCAAACGAGGCCACGAAGAAGGTGGATTGAAAAGAAACCCAGCCCCAAGGGGTTGGGTGGGTGGGAACTACCCTTGCACAGGGTGCATGCAGAGTAGTAGATCAGTTCTGTAAATGCCAGAAAGCAAATGCAGATGTCTCTTTGAGGAAGTTAGTCTTTTGCAAGGGGAGAAAGCATCTCAAAATCATAGAGTTCATAAGGGATCTTACCGTGATACATCTATCCCTTATTGGTGTGGCAAGCATTGCAGCGACAATGACCACAGATCTTGCAGCGCCAAATGGCCACAAAGGGTCCAGAGTTGCAGTCGGAGCAGCGCCAAGTCAGGATGTTGCCATTGGTAGCCTGGACAATGGCAAAGACGTGACCGGAGCATTGGTTGGCCATGTTGGATATTCAACTTGGAAAGGCTGTTTTTATAGTTAGATTGCGATTTCTTTAATGTTCAATGCTCCCTAAAACTCACATATTAAGCAAAACCCGAGGGACTGGGAACTGGCGTCGATCACTTGGAGAAGCGGAGAATGGTTCCAAGTAGTTGGATTGAGGAAACCAATAGGATATAGGAGGAGAAGATAGAGAGTTTTAGAGAGAGTTTGCAATGAAGTGAAGAGGTCAATGGAGAAGATGGAGAAGATGAGAGTCAAAAGCCAGGACAACTCAATCATTATATACTTCTCTCTCAAGATCACGGTGAGAGAGGGATCCCAGATGCAACCAGTCGACAACTAAAGAACCGAAATACGCACCAAGCCGATGACGCATGTAACCGAATCAATTGTTGAATTCCTCAAAAAGAAAAAGGAATGGAAAAAGGAAAAACAAAAGCAAAATTCAAAAGAATATGTGAAGAAATAAACTGAATATGTTTATGCACACGGAGTACGGAGTATATGGAAGAGAAATCCCAATCGATGTACCGAAATCATATCTTGCATACAAAATTTAGGCGAGCGACTAGGTAGATCCCGGTCTAACAAAGAGACAATAGAGCCTTTGATCGTAGAGATCATGAAGATCGGGAAGACATGATTGGGAGGTCTCAACGCAAAGGACGATTCCCAGAAAGCTGGGGGGGGAGGGGGGAACCGGAAGAGACCCGAGTGAATCATTTAGTTTGAAACTAATTTTTTTTTTAGTGTTGGGTTAGTATAGCGCATTGGGATAATAATATTAAAAAAAAGAGAATAAAGGGGAATTAACCTAATTGGAAGTGAAGAAATCCCAGAAATATGACAGAAGTGACTGGTATAATCCTATGAACCCAACTAAAATCAGAAGTGGAGCTGAATTGTATAGAGCCGAGACATGTCCCGTCCCGACAATTTGGATTGAACTGTCATTCGGAGGTTTCTATGGAGTTGGCTAGTTGTGGAGTATCGTACTTTTTTACTGTCTTTCCTTCTCTCTTTCGATCGGACCTTTGCATCCCAGTAATCCGGTTCCGATCGTGTGCATATAATATAGTAGAGTACATGTATATAGAGTCTGTTGACATGTGTATCGTTGTGTTGTATACTATTCACGGAACGAAGCATAATATACCATATCCTATTGTATGGATTTATTAGATCCTCTTTTTCAATACATATACCTTATTCTCTTTGAAGAAAATCCCCCCTGAAAGTCCTAATATCAACTTTTGATACATCAACTTCAAAGACGCTTAGACCGAAAAAAGATCCACATAGTGCTCCTCGAGTCATTTGTACCATTTCAGCTTCTAGCTATTCCAATTTCATTTTCGGTTTCAAAAATGTTCCAGCCAATTCAACTATTTACCTCTCAGCTGGTCACATCGAGTGACAAATTCGGTTGGGATATACCCCCCCCGGCGGCATTAGTGCAGTGCCGGTTTGGCGCTTGCATGGCCCAATTGCTTATTGAATAGCCGCAAAGCCCTTGAAAAACAGAAAAAGAAAAGAAAAAGAAAATGTAATTGTTGAGCTTTCTTGTTTTGGGATTGTGATCTCTGTCACATCCGTATATCCACATGTTTTGTTTGGAAATTCTACCACAGTCTAGCCAAGATCTTCTCCAGCGACTGGATGGGGCAGTTCCAGTTCTTTTTCTCATTGTACAAGAGTACAAGAGTACAAGAGTACAGAATGAGTACAGAATGACTCCAGTGTACTAAAAGCACCGAAAGGAAGCCCATTTGGGGTGATACAACGGTAGGTTTCTAGGGTCGAGTCCTCTCTGGAACTATCAACTTAAAAGGGGCATTCAAACTACACAAAGGGACATGGGCAGGGATTAAACGGAGAAAGACTACACCTCCGATGAGTTTGCAAGGAATGCTTGAGTGATCTTAGGTCCATCTGTATCACCTGAGGATTGCAAATTGGGCCAGCCATAGCCGTTCGAGATCTGCTCGGGAGATGAGAAGGTGCTATACTTAGAGACTCGGGAACCAATTGATCACGCCAAGCGACCTGGAACCCTTTGAAAAGTGGGAACTCAGCTCGAACCCAGCTCTAACTGTCTCACAGTCGATCAATGGAAACGTGCACACCGACACTCCCATATTGGAAGCATGTACGGAGTACCATCCGTAGATACCTCGACTCCCGTAATGGACACACTCTGGGCTCGGCGATCACCAGACCACGACCGAATCACAAACCAGCTTCCAGAATTATTCACGGCCAACCGCATCGGTGTGACGGAAATGAACTCAACATGACAAGAAAATCGGGAACAATCGTTGGAAAGGAAATCCTCGGCACTGCTAGATATCTACCGTGTCTATGGAGGGCCGAAAAGTTTGCTTTCCACGATCGAACAGGGTGAAATGTCCAATGTCAAAAAGTGTAGATTGGGTACATTGGGTAAAATGTTTGCTATCGAATTAAATTATGTTCGAGATCGCCTCCTTGCACCACTTCCACGACCGCGAGGTCAATCATTCCGGAGAACTGAGAAAGCGGTGACTTCTCCATGCTATAGTCTCCAAAGAGAACACAACATGAAGTAAGAAAACAAGATCCGATTTTAATCTGCCAACGCTCCGTTAAGAACACCTTGTGGAAAACGAGATGCTCCTGCAGAACCCAGAGTGGACTGCATCGCTGGTTTGAGGGGTCGTGATATGATCACTTTACGAGGCCGAGAACGGTAGGGGGAACGGGGAGGACAATCGGGGACCGAGGAAGGGGGAAAGGTCCAGAATGGGTCGTTCATTTGATAGGAAATAGGTATCATGTCATCAACGGTTGCAGGAAAACCTGCACATCAGTACGCAAAAACGACACCTTAGAAGTATCTAGGTCTCTCTTTGCTTGGTTTCGTTATTTTTTTTTCCTCGTTACTGCCATATGCCTCATCAGTCGTTAAGGTGGAAGAGAGCCGAGACGCTGCTCGTTGTTAGTAGATGGTCACACGACACCAGGGTCGGTGAAAACAAACCTTTCGCCATAATGGTGCCTCCGGATGCTCTCTGCCAATAGACTCGATACATCAATGACAATCAACTTTTTTGATCTCCGCAACATCGACGGTGAGATCGGGAAAGTGTTGGTCACGACAATATGGTCGATTGAGCGACAAGCTTCCATCTGATCTAAGGAGTTCTCCCCAAACAATCCGTGGGTGGCAATACAGTAAACTTTGCTAGCCCCGCCACGCTTGACGACAGTCTCGGCAGCCGCGATCCACGATCCGCTCTTGTCAATCATGTCATCAACAAGGAAGACAGATCGGTCACGCACCTCACCCACCAACGTGATGGTCCTTTCATCGACATGGCCGCCACAGACACTAGCTTCGTCGTCAGACTCAACTGCGTCGAAGGAGCCACCGAGCGCATGATCAGGAGGTTGCGAGGAGGCGTTGGAGACCATGGAGTTAACCATAGAATCAGGGATAGCCTCTGTGTTGTCATGGTTACTACTGCCAGCTCCCGGTGTGGTGCCGCCAGACTGTGACTCTTCGTTGATACGATAATCATCATCAACCAATTGACCTTGGACCAGGCGACCGGTGATCACATCCCGCACACGCACGTCCGTGTACTCGTATGCTGCTTCCAGCTCCGATGGGCGGCGGGCCGCAGGTGGGGTTTCCGGGCGCAGAAAATACCGCGCAGGAGGGGGAGTGACTGGCTCCGGCTCTTCCGGGATGGGAGGTGTTGCAGGCGTTCTGTTAGAACTGTGCATATGAAGCTCGAAAGGCTGTGCTTCCTTGGTCGCGAGGGGATCTTCATCCACGGCATCGAAGAAGACTGTGCTATCAGTCATAGTGGCCACAGAGACCTTCGGACGCCGGCGATCCGTCGTAACGATACCGAAGTTGAGCTTCAAAGTATCAGCCAGCGATGTGACTCGCTTGGTTCCGCCAGCATTCTTGCTAACCACCACGGCGTCTTTCCAGCTAGGAACATTCATCCGAATCCAGCGGGCAATAAACGGTTCGGCGAAGAGGTTGTCGACCGGCTTTCCGAAGAATCCTTGCATCTGGGATGCCTAGGAGCCCATCAATATCCATATTACAAAACTCAACATCGCATAGAAACATACGTGCAGGTCCATGGTGATCACATGGTCCACGCCAGCGATCGTGAGGAGATTGGCGAGCATGCGGGCCGTGATGGCACCACGATGACTCTTCTTCTTAGATTGGCGCGAGTATGGGAAATATCTCAATTGAGAGTCAGCATTGTCTGTGATTTGAGTCAAACAGGACGGGCAGCATACGGCATGACCGCTAAAAAAATGAGTTAGTGGGGTAAGCTTTTGAACCTGGAATCATCGGCAACATACCTGTAATGGACTTCGCTGAGCCACCCTTGCACGCTGAGATCATGATCAGGAGCTCCATAACACTATCGTTAATCTTCTCGCTACCACTTTGAATGATGTAAACATCTTGGTTCCGCACTGAGGTACCGATGTTGACACTGGTCTCGCCATTGGCAAATTTTCCTAGGTTAGCTTTGGCAGGCACAGTGCCTAAACGCTCGCAGATAGTATCTGCGAGGCCAGGGTGGGAATTCCCCGAAAATATCTGGACGCCCCGCATGATTTAAAAAATAAAAGACATGAGTGACGTGAAAGAAAAAGAAAAAAGAAAGAAGAAAAAAGTTCGGAAAGGAAAAGCTCGGGAATACTGCGGGGATGGTATTTGTCGCTCGCCGTACAGGTTTTCTTTATCGGGGGCCGATAAACGGGGGAGTTGCATCATTCCCACATCCCACCATGACAAAGTTTCCAGAAGTACAAGGTGGAGGCTCATTGATACTCGCTTGGCAAATTAAAGACAAGCATGTACTGGTCGTAGGTGGTGGAGAGGTACGTGATTAACTCCGATAACAGCTATATATCGTCGTTTTTGAGATTGGAGACTAATCTATATATATCTTTGCTAGGTTGCTGCAGGACGCATCCTCCACGCTCTCAATGCCGATGCCCGGGTCACTGTGGTTTGTCCAGCCGCTGGACTAAACGAAGAAGTGGCTTTCAGGGTGACAGAAAAGCAAGTCACACACGTTGATCGAAACTTCGAGCCATCCGACCTCGATAATGTGGACATGGTGCTCTGTGCCATCGACGACCCGGAGGCTTCAACACAGGTCTGGAAACTCTGCAAGGAGAGGCGAATTACTGCCAACATCGCCGATGTCCCGCCTGAATGTGATTTCTATTTTGGAAGTGTTCACCGCGATGGGCCATTGCAGATCATGGTCAGCACAAATGGAAACGGGCCCAAGCTGGCCAGCATTGTGCGGAAAAAGATCGCGGAGACTTTGCCATCGAACATGGGGGCAGCTATTGAGAATGTTGGAAAGCTACGGAAGAAGCTCCGGGAGGTTGCGCCAAAGCCCGACCAAGGCCCCAAGAGAATGAAATGGTGAGTTGCAATATTCCGGTCCCTTTTCAAGGATAAGTGTGAGCTAATTATCATAGGATGTCTGGTGTATGTGAAACATGGAGTCTCGATGAGCTTGTGCAGATGACAGAAAAGGATATGGACAGCGTATTATCCTTTTACGAGTCGGGTAAGATCCCAACTCCAGAAGAAGTACAAAATAGATAAAAAAAACCAAATCAAGAAATATTTTATCTTATCAATACAGCAGCTATGCATCTCAAAAGTAGAAGAAAAAAATGCTCGTGTGACAACACAAGACCCCGAAGAGTCGGGTTATAAAACGCCGAAAATCAAGCCCGTGGCGAGGATATCCAAAAAATCATGCAGAAAGTCAGACCTGGCTATCGCGGCGCGAGGCTTTTTGGGAGACGGAGCTGCGCGGGCTGATGGGAACGTCTAGGGGATTGGGCGGAGCGATACCTAGTCGGACCTCGCCGATCCGGCGCAGTAGAGACTGAAGGGCAACGCGAATTTCCGGGTTAAGATCACGGCTCAGAAGCTCAACTCCGAGAGGGTAGAACGTCTCGATGTGCTTAGTAAAGTCATCTTGTGGGAAGTTGGTATATCCATCAATGACATCAACCACGACCGGACGCCAAGCGACGATGTTGCGGTGCTGGGTATCTTCCTCAAGGCGGACGAAACTGCGAATAATGTCCGCACAAAGTCTAGTGGAATTAGAAACAACTATGAACAAGAAGGGAAAAAGAAAGGCAGGGAGAATCAACTTACGGAATGAGTGCAGCCTCGGTCTCTGCGCGACTGCTCTGTCTTTCCTCTCGCTCGTCGTGATACATTCGGAAGAGAATATGCACGTAGGTGGAGGCACTGCCGCTCTCCTGCTTCAATAGATTAGGAGGTTGCTTCATGAATCCTTGGCGCCAGAGTTGCATCCGCAAGTCTTTATCCTCGTTGAACTTCTTCGCAAACTGATAACTCTTTTTCAGCAGCCCCATGAGCCGGAGAAGCTCAACACTGGGGATCTGTGCATAGACAGTTTCGTTCGAGAAAAGTTCGTGGACTGTTTCAATCATCAGCAGTTGGAGAACGCAGTTCGTGATGATGCGGTTGAAGTAACGACGCCGAGCTGCAGTGACAGCTGCAGGTTGCTGCTGATCTGACTGAGGGCGATAGTCTTCTAATTCGGCGCGGGCTTCACTTTGGACAGGAGGATCTCCGCTTTCATGAATAGAAGGTGTGCTTTGGGATCCGTTGGGCTGCAACGCATCAGGCAAATCTCCTGTTGCTACAGCAGCATCTGGAGACTGCGTGAGGTCCGCATTAATTGCCTCTGCCGGCTTAGACAGCGATACAGCAGCCGTGAAAAGTTCATAAGCTGTCGTTTTGCTGAAGAGCTCCACGAATGCCCCAACAATCTGGGACCAGTGCTCCTGTTTGAACTTTGCAACATTCTGCAAAATCAGCTGTTGCAGGCAGTTGCTACCAATTCGTGCAATCGTGTCATTTTCTTGACAAATGCACAATGTCAGCAGTTCCAAGAAGCGGCTCAGCATGTACTCCAAAGCATCAAAATAGTGTGTGAACAAGGTGATCATGTTCCGTAGCGCCTGGATCATTGTCGTGGACAGCCAGACTGAAAGATCCTCGTGGTTCGGGACTTTGGACATTTCAGACTTAGACTGCAGGACCACGAAAATCGGATAGAGGAGCTGTCTCCAGAGCACATCCCAAAAGTCCCTGGGGAAATCGCCCCCGTGTCGGATTAGCGTATCGAAGAGGTATGTGAGTGCCCGTGAGCGGACCTCTAGATCATCTCCTGTCATAAGTACATCCTGGAATGCGATGAGAATCGGATACCAGAACTGCTCCTCTTGTGATTGACGGGTAAGCTGTTTAGCAAGATTGGTTCCATTGTCCTGGAAGGTGGCCGCCGAAGCACCGCGGTGTGACAAGGGACATTCTGGAGTCCGTAGCATTTTGGTGACGGTAGACCTGAGGGTCTCAATTGCCTGCAGCGATTTCTTTTGGAATTTGGAGTTCTTTGAGAATTCAGTCAGGCATACAATGAGATCTGCAAAGGCACCTTGGGTGATCACTATCCCAAATCTAGTGTTGTAGACTTGTGTGACATGATCAAAAGCCATGTTTACGATTCCCTCTGTTTGATGCGTTAGCGGGCGACGAAGTAATTTAAGCAGCGAGGCTTACCATAGGGTTCCCGTGCTGCGACTGTGAAGACACCAAACATGGTCTTCCATCCCGAACGGATGTTGTCGCCACGGGCCTGAATCATCTGGATTAGACATCGCAGAATCATGTCCTTGACAGCTGCAGTGGTGCTGTTTGCCATCACATGTTCGAAAGGCTTAAGGAAGTCCTTTTGGAACTTGAAACCAGGCAACTCCTCAATCTCCATGAAGCGCATCGAAAGTTGCCGGAGCGAATCCAAGGCAAAAAAGACAACCATAGTATTAGAGTGGCAGCCAACTTGATTGAAGTGTTGACCCAAAACATCCCAGATCTTAGACCACTCAATCCTGACACGAGTCATGTTGTAATAACTGATCTCAACGAGCTTCTGCAAACTGTAGGTTCGGGGCGAATCGGTGTGACCGGAAGATTGAATTTCTTGCCAGCTGACCTCGCTCAAGGCCCGAACGAAGTCGATAATGGCCTCATGCGACAGATTGGCAGTATTGGTGAAGATACGGTCCACGCCACGAATCATATCCGCCGAACGGCTCTCCATAGCAATTTCTGGACGGAAAGCAGTTGGCCCATTAACAGAACGAGGGCGAGCGCGCCGTGTACTTTGCATGGATTTGCGGGAGGTATCTGCTGATGAGGGTGCCCTCGAAACATCAGGCAGCGATCCCTCGTCGACGCCATCACTCAAGAGCTGCAGCCGATCAAGCTGACTGACACATGTCAAAACATCCCGCCACGAGCCCTGGAGGTGGTTACCCTCGGTGAAGGCGACGTCGAGCAAGGCTTTCAGGGCCTCGACATTTTTAGCCATCATCTCCCTCACGTTTCCGAGGTTAGTGAACTTCGCCAAGGCAGTCACAAATGCCACACGAGGAGTCTCAAGGTCGAAGGAACAGCTGATCCGAATGGACAGTTTGAGTCCCTCCATGCAGAGCCGGATGGTTTCCAGATTCGACGTGTCCTGCATTGGCGCAGACAGACCAGATAGGAAAGACATCCAGGTGACGTTGAACATTGACCCAACATGACGATCTGATGTTGCGGGGATGAAGTGCGAAAGCGCATCTTTAACTGCTGTCTTGCGTTGAGCTCGAATGAGGGAACGATAGAGTTGTTCTGTCTTGTTCGCCATCTCCTCAGAAGCCTGTGCGTACTTCTCGCCCTGGATGTCTCGTCCAACGGTAGCAAACACCTGTCCAGCTCTGGTGGCAAGGCCAGCGGGAGCGGGGGGTTGAGGATTGAGGTTGGCAGCATGTTCCTGCTCAGTGTATAGCACGATTTCATTGCTTCCAATCTCCTCATAAATGGCCCCAAGATAGTCGGATGGCAGATCTTGGTTGTCATTGATTCCACGGTTGTTCTTGATGAAGTCCTCCTTGGTCATACGGCGGCCCTTCATTTTCGTACTGTGCTGATCTGTGTTAAGTAGAATCACCGAGTATGCAAGGACATATGCGGTGTCAGCGTTGGCGAAGGCATTGGGGTTTTGAGTTGTATACCGTTCGGCAAACTTCAGCATAAACCGATCGATTTTTTGGGCTTCACCAGGCAGGCGGAAATGCTGCAAAAACGAGCGCAGGGACTCAACGAAGCGTCGCTTCGTAAATTCCATCAGATCGACAAAGGCATGCATAATGGCAATGTTTTCCGGCTCTCCCTCACCAAGATACTCTCCCAGCATGGCCTTGTCAATGCGGTCTGTGCGAAGCATGAAGCTGGCAATTTCTTCAGGAGACTCGGATTGGATAAAGCCTTCTTTGAGGAAGGCCTTAATGCCACGCTTGGGCTTGAAATTGAATTGTTGAACGGCATTTGTGAGAGCGATTTTTCGTTGCTTGACTTTTTCGATCTGGTTCGGGTCGTCTTCGGGCATAGGTGTGGACCGGCCCGTCCCACTCTCGAAAGACTCAGGATGCGGTGAAACAAGCACGCTTGTGTCCAAAGACTCACGGGAGTTGTCCATCGATTTAGAGGGGATGGCT